ACTGTGGGCATTATAAAAAACAATGGAACTCGACGTGAACGAAGTAATTTATATATCATGGGATTGTTATGCCGGGGAGGTTTTTACGATTTTATTCGTTATGTTTACAGGAGGGAAATTGATACCGTACCTACGCCTTTATACACAAATTATATAAACATTTGAATGCTTTCTATGTGCTATGTTAAATTGTGTTTTGAAAACAATGCGTAGATTTATTAGCATAAATAACTTAAACTTAATTTAAAATGCAGAAATGAATAAAATAGACTTTAGAATAATAGTAATATTGATTAAGTAAAAGAAATTGGCGTTCATGCATTTAATTTATGAGCGGTGTATTAAAAAAAATCAACATCATTTATTCATATAGGTAACACAATGTACATGAACGTCAAAAAAGAAATAAATAGGAAATGCTTCTAATTTTACATTTACTGCCAGTTCTCAAATCAAGGGCGTAGACCGGAAGAGAGGAACTGGCAATAAACTCTATTTTACACAACGTTAGTAAGGAGCTGCTGGTTGCAGCTCCTTACACCATGTTCCACATGACATCTTTAGTAATTAATTATAATAAAATAAATTAAAAACAAAGATTTGTCCTCTATTAGCAGGAGGCATGGTGAAATAGGAATAACTTTAGTGGATGAGTCTTGCGAATCTAAAAACTGTACTTTCTCGTGTACAATGTTTATTTATACCCGCAATTAGTTAGACCTAAATTCAATGAACGACTTGTACGAGACACAGAAGACAGTCAATAAATTTAAGATGCAAAAATCTGAGACCAAATCGCAAAGGTCGTCGTATGTCGTCGGCGCCTTGTATGTACCTAGAAGTGTTACATAATTAATCACGTCCATACTTTCTTCGACTACGTAATTAACTTCGAGTTCGTTGTTGGGGCAGTTATAGGTTCCGATTTAGTACGGTCAAAGGTAAAATATTTTATAAAAAACGAAAAAGGTTTTAATTAAAGCAGCAAAATATTTATTGTTAGGCAGTATCGAAGTTAACACATGCCTATTATAGACTATAATAAAGGGAAGTTTCTATATATGTAAATTACTAGCTGACCCAGCAAAACTTTAACCTAATAAAGCTAGAGATATACTGTCACTGAGTTTTTTGTAGGCTTTCAAGCTCTACAACTTTCTCTAGAACTCATTCATATATCGTCAAGGCAGCGTTCATAAGAAACGTTGTCGTTCGACAGTTTCTTTGGCTTACTTAACTCATTCGACTATCACGAAGACTATTAATTTTTCGGGTTAATATATAGACACTTAAATAACGTGGCTTTCTATTACCACCATGTAGGTGGTTTATACACCTCATAAACTTTACCTCTTTATAATATTAGTATAGATATGATAAATTGAAACTGTAGAAAAGTCTGAAGAGTTCGGAATACGCATTCATCGAGGAAGATAAATTGTACTTATATAAACTTTATCTTTGATCGAACAAAGCTAACGAAGTTTTCCACAGAAATATGAAATTGCTGTAACTTTAAGACAGCTGTTGTTCCTATTTTACATTTATTTTATTAAGAGATAAGGGGTTTAACTCACTAAGATTAATTAAGTTCAACTTTGAATAGAACGTTAAAAAATATTCAATTCTTAGACGATTTGCACAGTTGTTTGTTAATACAAGTAAACTACTACTAGATACTATTAAGAGATATTTATTTTACTTAGTTGCGAAATCAGTAACATTTGAATAGATAAATAATAATTAAACAGCGCGCCTTACAGCTTTCGGGCGATCTCTTCAATGCAATCACCATGAATGTATGGTTGACATGAGGTAAGGTGTGAGTCAAGCAACTTCAAGTCTTGGAGCCAAATAAAGGTAAGTAAAAGTAATTTTGAAGATAAGTAAGTACCTGGAGAATCTATGCAAACGGGTGGTTCAGCAACTTCAAGTAAAAAATAAAAATGAAACAGTTTTGCAGCCTGCTCACACCAGGTATTTCGTCATGTCTATAATAAAATCTCTTACGTATTAAAAAAGAGGTATAAGCAAATAGATAATAAAATATAATATCAAACACATTCCTTCATATGTAAACGTATATAGGGATCCAATGCTCTTTGAATATTTGTCCTTGTCACTCCCGTAAGGTTTTCCCATCACATAGACATGATAAAATTATTTGAAAACTATAAAAAATCATTTAAAAAGTTAAAAAGGAATTGAAAATGACAAAAATTGACGATACTAAAGTTTACTTACTTAGGTACGTATACTAACTAGGTACTGAAAATAGATTAAAGCTGAACAGTTTCCTTATTATTGAATATAACATTAAATCAAATCATCTTTATACTCAAATTCTAACATATTATGTTCATAAAGTTTGAAGTTAAAAATTATAAATAACAAATTAAATCTTCATATACTGTATATATGTTACTGTAAAAGCTCGAACTGCAGTAAATCCTAAGATATTCCAGTAAAACCTAAGATCAGCTACCAATTCCTAATGGTAAATGTCCAAAAAGGTTTGCGATTCGAACTCTTACCACCATTCCGTTGGTAAATCTTAGGATTTACATTAATGGCACGGTAAATGTTGAAAAACAAAAAAAATGCACCAGCAGATCATCAGGATTACCTTGTAATTCTAAGTGCCACTATAGCAATCCGTGTTGTAACAAGTGAAATATTTTTTTTAGGTACCTTATGTAGGTGAGATATTCAGAGAAAAACGTTATGTGTTTTTTTCAAAATAATTTAAGTACTTTGGTATTAGTTTGTACTTATTACTATCATATGATACCTTTATAATACTATGTACCTGTTTTGTCTAATTGTACATTAAAGTAAATAATTAAGAATTACTCATTGTTTTATTCCTAAAACCAACATCTACCAGCTGACAGTGGTAAAACCTAGCATATACTGAATTCGAATGGTAAAAGCTCGAAAAAGTCGTCGTATTTTCAGAAATTCTTACATTTACCAACTCATGTCGGTAAATCCTAAGACTTACACTTAAATCTTAAGATTAACCGTAGTTCGAGCTTTTACAGTAACATATACACTTTAAAACAATTAATTTCTTTTGTTAAAATTGTGTTTGCGAATGAATCCATTCTTCTATATAAAAAGACAAATTATATTTTTGCAAAAGATATTTGTCTATGTAGGCCATACATTATCTTACAAAGTAAGGACTAACGACAAATTCCTAATTTATACGACCCGATTAACGAAGTGATCGAACGGGAACAGTCATTTGTTTCAGAGGTTATTTGAGTGAAATTCCCCCGTTCTTGCTGCAGATATATTCAATGGCAATATTCGGGTAAAATCGATTTATGGTCTGATATAGGTTAAACCCCCCTTTGATCTCGCGTAAAGGCAGAACTCTATTGGAAAATTAATATTGCGCTCGTCCTAATAGTTTTTAGGTAGGGGTTTTATGCGGAAACCAATGTGTGTATTAAACTTTTACATGCGTTTATTATTCTACTAGCACTTCTGTGGACCAGTTTTTATGGTTTTAGTTATTATGGCATTGATTCTTCCCTTATCACAAGCATCAATTATCAATAGCTTCTTGAATCATAATATAAAAATTTAATAATGCTACAAATACATAGGTTAATTGGAACCAGTTATTGTTAATTTCCATTTCTAAATAACCACATTGTTACCAAATATTATCTAAATATGGCGGGATTTGTAATTATTTTTTACAAGAATCCTTAATATTGTTACATGTTTGCAAAGTATACAGATTAATTGGTAATAACCCAATTGGGTCATTAATCGAGTTTTGTACAGAAAATAATTGTTAGTAAATTATTAGTAAAAATATTTTTTCTAATAGCTGAGCAATTTTATAATCGGGATAGGTTTTCTATATTCTAACGCATAGGTCGAATGCCAATTTCAATGACAGATATACCATTATCAAGGGCTAATTCATATTAAACGAAATCTAATTTAAAATCTATTTAATGTCACGAAGTGTACACGCTTACATTTTGTTTGACTCAATATTATTGGAGGAAAACACCGTTTTTGATAACATTCACAAGGTGTGCAAGTCATTGTAATACTATGTATAATGGATATGGATCTACAAACCAGCCCTCAATTTTTGGTCTGCAACGGCTACCAAGACACCAAGGATCTATTTAAGACAGGAAACATGTTAATCTTATCAGGGCCGTACAGTAACTGGCATTTCCTTCTATTTAAATCTACGATTCCAGTATTTAATATTATTACAATTATTCTACAGTCCACATAGTATCATCAATACATGTTTTCAGACACTTACTGACAGGTTAGCGATGAAAAATAAATGTATATTAGTATATTTAACCATGGATTTTGATAAAGTACATTTAGATCCGTATTTAAAACCTTCGTTTTATAAATTTTGTTTATTAATTCTCTACAGTCGAGTTCTTTGTTTGGTGAGTCGTATTAAGCAAATATCATTTCAATGAAACACACAAATCATATAAAAAGTGCTTGGCTAGCCCTGACATTACCCCAGAAAACATTTAGAGTTTCGGAGTTTTTGGAGCTTGCGGAGTTATTGTCTGGTTGTTATCTGAATAAATGATTACCAGTATAGAATTCACTTAGATAAGACCGTTTTGTGCTGTATTTTAGGTAGTTGACAATACCCTGATTAATTTTATAGGTTGTTGTTATTTTATCAAGTCTGTGTCTGAGTAATCTTTACAATATGGAACTTGCCCCAAATATATTTTATATGTGTAGTGCATTCATCTTAACGGTTATATTGAAAAACGTTTGAAGTGAAAAATGACCTGATACAAAAATTTTCCTATTGTAATTAATTAAATTATATAATGGATAGCTGTATCATTCATGTTTGAAGTCCCGTTATCCGTTATTGTGTATGGGGCAGCCACATTTTAGGTTTAGACTTGTAACTTATTAACGAAGGCGATGATAATGGGGTTGACTAAAATAATTCTGTTCGAATTTTAAAATACACTCACCTAGAACATCGACACACCCAATCTGCTTCTTCATAGTGCTTGTATTAATTTGGCACATGTAGCAGCCACGGTCTTCAATTTTCAAAGGTCGTATGTGCAGCTGCCAGGACGAGGGAGAGTCGTTGGTGACGGCATACCGCGAACTGTGCGTTACTAACCGTGTATGAAGGGTCAGTATTGTCTGATCGTCGGCTCGTATCCACGCTACCTATAAATTCATTAGAATATAGAACAGGTGTTGAGAAAACTTTTTACAAAATTAGAACTTCGAATGGAGACGTAACCATTTTATGTTCGAATATCTTTTTTTTAGTTTGCTTCAGTTTGATACTCTGCTGCATTTACATATACAATATCGAATGTTAAAAATACTAAGTATACGGTTCCAGGGTCAACTGGATGCTTTGTAAATAATAATTGAAAATACTATATTTAATATATTTATTTCTCTTGTACTGTAAAATAATGTTTATTAATTAAATGCTATGAAATTGTATGCTATGCCATGCTTATAATGCTGAAGAGACTGGCTGCGTCTGGTTATACTTTTGGAGCGTAAATCCTGCGATTTAGATAATAGCCACGCTTATAAAACTAAGTATACCTTTGAAAGAGATAAAGATTTAAATGATATAACTAACGAAGAATAGCATTTAAAACGTTTGAAAAATCGAGCATTTTAATGAGAATTATTTCCAGTCATTTTACACTAAACTACTTCTCTCTTTTATAAATTGTGTTTATTATAAAACAAAATTACTAAATAGGTATCTCTATTATGAGTGTGCCAAACATATTAAACATTAACGAAAAACATAACGATTTCTAAACCACTTTAGTTTTCTTAAAATACGACTGTACAAAAGTCGAAAGTGATTTTCGTTAAAAACATTACGTTCACAAAACTTTTTCACGTTAAGGAATTAAGGATTCAGTACTTTAGTTAAAGCGGTGCAATTAGGTTTAGTGTGTCCACCGTTATATATAATCTTATTTGTCGTGAAGTTACTAAATAAACCATAACTGTAAAAAAATTAATACATAAAGAACAAATCTCGGCCACGTTCCATTTTGTAAAAAATATTTTTAACCAGCAAAATTGTCCAAAAATATATTACTTTCTACGCCTATAGAGATCCAAATAGATTCGGAAGGGCTTGCGGCATTTTTTAACGAACTAAAAGAGGTTTCTAGGATTTATTCGAAAATGGTAACCCTTTCAAAACAATGACTTAAACATTATGAAGTGTTTTATTTTACAAAATTTGATGGATATCAACGGCGTCTGAGGAAGTAATCGTTACTTCAAAAAAATATTTAAGTCCTTTAGAGGATTAAAAATTATGTAATTACACAATTTAATTGTAATTTAAGTTTATTGGGCTAATTAAAATCAGTTTAAAAACTAATTTTTATAAAAATTTGTAAATAGTTTTTCAGAAATAATAGATTTTAACATAATATATTATTTAGAATTAAAACTTTACTGTGAATTATGATATAATATTTTATCTTTCGAAATAATAGGATCGAGTTTAGATTTATTTTACTATTACGCTCATTATATATATATTTGAACCGAGTCCTAACACATAAAGTAAATAAATAGAGAACATTCAAACCCATTAAAGTTTTATATTTGTCGACTCAAGCTTGAGCTTTTCTCGTTCAATGTATTAGCATCGCCGTATATGCTGGCAGCATGAAGTGGAGTCAAAATTTTTAAAACTTGTTATATTTTTGTGTTTAACGATGAATATCTTTAAATGATATACGAATTCTGTCATTAACTGCGTATCTCAATACTATTTATCAATGTCGAATTTGCTATTTTCAGCTACATTAGTTCAGGATTAGCGGTTTAAATCTATTTCTAAATTCGAAATGATCTAGGCTTAGTGGTTTTGTTGCTTAGTGGTTGAACCACTGAATGGTCAAATACAGTTAAATGTGTTTGACCATTCAGTGGGATTCGGGATAATTATCGCTAAGTTTTAAATTATATTATATAGGTTCATATATAACTTAAATAGGTTATAGCAGTAAAAAATTTCAATGACACAACTCCGTTTTTAATGAGAACTTACACAGAGAATATACTATACTATAAGTATAAAAATGTAATTTTTTTTAGTTTTGGTGAGCCATGTATTTATATAGATATTAATGGATATTATTGCATAGAAAATATGTAATTAAAAACAACGAAAAATTCTTATGTCGCCTATGGACATAAGAATAACTGCCTTGCGATTCTGTAACTCACTTTTCGAACTCACACAGCGGTTTTCGCATCTGCGGTCGCTCTAAAATCAAATCGCAGGGCTGTTTGTAAAATATCAAGTTAACATTGTTATAATCATAAAAAAATTGTAAAAAGATTACATATTCCAATAAGGCTTGTTGCGTTCTCTTGAAATCAAAACAGCTTGTACGGCTACATAAATAAATATTAAAATGGAGGTTAAATTTAATTCAGATGAATAATGATAATTTAATATTCAAGATTACTTTGTTTGTTAACTCGGTTCAGAAATACTGCAGAAAGCAAATGAGAGAAAAATAAAAAGACGTAACAAGCCGACGATATTATGCAAATGGATTTAATGGTTGGACGACTGATGTTTCAAATTGAAAGAACATTCGAGTGATTCTTAGAAAAAGATTTTTTAATTTCAATAATTGTTGAAGGGAACAATGTAATAGTTTTAATGAGGAATAATTTTACTTCTTTGGACAAGAATCAAAAAGAGTTTTAAACTTTATTTCCAATAGAATTATGGAGATTGTTACATAAAGAGGCGTAGGGGATAATCCCTGTGATATATAATCGATGACCAAATTTTAAACTGCTAAAACTATACAGTGGTTTTTATGACGTAAACTTAAAAGCACTGTCTGAATTATATCTTAAAACTTAGATAGAAACTGTCGTTATTAATATTTAAAACAAAAGATAAAAATAACTCAAACACTTCTCCATAAATACACAGTATGACCCATAATCCCATAAATATCTCAATGTAACATCCATAAATGAAAAAATCATAAAATTTTTTTTTTTTTTTTTTATAGAACGGGGGGCAAACGGGCAGGAGGCTCACCTGATGTTAAGTGATACCGCCGCCCATGGACACTCTCAATGCCAGAGGGCTCGCGAGTGCGTTGCCGGCCTTTTAAAAATTGGTACGCTCTTTTCTTGAAGGACCCAAGGCGAATTGGTTCGGGAATACTTCAGTGGGCAGCTGGTTCCACATAGTGGTGGTGCGCGGCAAAAACTGCCTTGAGAAACGCTCAGTTGTGGAACGTCGGACGTCGAGGTGATACGGGTGGAATTTCGTATTCTGCCTCGACGTCCGATGATGAAACTCAGCTGCAGGTATTAATCCGAACAACTCCTCTGAACACTCTCCATGGTAAATGCGGTAGAAGATGCAGAGTGACCCCACATCTCTACGCAACGCCAAAGGATCAAGCCGCTCGGAGAGGGATTGGTCGTCAACGATTCGATTCGAACCGCTTCTGAAGCCAGTAAGGTTTGAACATGACTTTTATATCAAGACTGTTCCTGCAGTCCGTAGTCCCAGAGCGAAGACTAAGGGTATTTTTCAGTATTCGTGCTAGCCCCGTTATCAAGATAGTGCCACCACTTTTTTAACAATATTCTGGTTCTATATTCTATTTAATAGACGAATGTATACTTCCTGTATTCAATAAAGAATAATAATTACATTTTGTATGAAACGACAAATACATCAGGGAATCCATTTAAATAACTCAAAAAAGCGCTTACTAATTGTTATCGGTTACGTAGTTAAGTTAAAATATATTGAAAAATAACGATCAGTCGTTGTGTGAGTTTTAATTAAAATTTGTAATACTTCGCCAAATGTTTTCAAAGGGCAAAGAAAAATTAAATGACGTGACGTAAGTTTGTCAAAAGACTTTCCTGTTTGTATCGCAATAAATTAATCAAACCTTTGATGTCAAAGGAATTTCTTTTGTTTTATTTGTAAGGCAATTTGTAGCTGTTAAACAATAAGAAATTAAATATTTCTTCACTTCCATTTTGATACTGTATTTCCTAAATTATTATTTTTAGAATTTTTCTTTAATTTCAGAATAAATATGCTGACGTTTCTTGTGTTTATTGACTGCTTGTCTTGAAATGAAAGCCTTTAAACTAAGAACTTTAGTTGCATAAGAGAATATACATTTTTATATTGAAAGCTGGAAAGTTTTGAGACTTAAATACTTAAATACATGACTATTGCTATGACAAAGGTAAGAATATGTCTAACGGGAGAAAAAGTTTGGAAGGCTAACATAATTCATGTCACCCAGAAAAGTTAATAAAGTAATAAATCCTCTGAAATATTGGATCAGAGCTAAAAGGTCCAATAAGTTCGCATTATATTTGAGAAGGTCACCCTGAATTAAAGTTATAATATATGATGCCTATGTAATGGTAAAACTTGCCTGCTTTTGATGTCGAGAAACAGGGTTATAATTTACTTTAAGACAGCAATAATTGTAAATTTTTAAAACTTACAATTGCTATATTTGCTTCAACGTAAATGCAAGACGGTACAGCTATTTTTAAGCTAATTTAAAATAATTGTGTATGCATTATCATGACTAATAATATAATGATATACATATATAGTTAAGAGTAAAAACCTTTACGTTACCATTAAATTTTTAAAACTTTTTAAAACTCCGTTCTTACTTCATCTAACCACTAATGATAGGCGGTTTTAGCAGCTATTTTGTATCGATAGATGTTGTAATTAGACTTGTAATATTAAAAGCTAGCTTAGCAAATGCTGGGTAATAGTGGATGTATAAAAACTGAAATATTTATAGATTAAATATAGTTTTAATTGCATAATATTTGCTTCGTCTAAGTGAAAAATATTACATACATTAGATTCACCGTGGGAAAACGTGACCTAATTAGGTTTTACATTTAATTAAGAAATTATAACGCTGTAAGTCAAATAAAATGTCAGTATGCAGTGTTTTGCTACTTAAAACCCGGATATTTTAAAACGATACTAATTTTGTCGCACTTAAACCGTAAGTTTAACAAATTATTATTTAAACGGTACATTTAAGACATATATGTTTATAGATCAAGAGCCCAGGACTGCCAGACCTTCGTCATTTTATAAAAGCTGAAAGTTCTTCTGTGCCTGTCCCCTATACGGGTAAGAACGACCAGAGACTATAGAGTTTGGGTAGTGGTTACTTTGGCAGATAACAATGCCTATGAAAATATGATACCTCAATAGCCGGACAGTTTCAATGGTTTTTACACCCTGCCAGACACATTGAAAGTCTAGTAGTAGACTACCTGTTATCTGCCAAAGTAACCACTACCCAAACTCTATAGTCTCTGGTCGTTCTTACCTGTATAGGGGACACGCACAGAAGAACTTTCAGCTTTTATAAACTGACGAAGGTCTGGCATAAGCAAAGAGCCCTGGGCTCTTAGGATATTAGATATTCATCAGCGAAACTACCAACTACACAGGCTTACATATTACTATTATGGTTATTATGCCTCGTACTACTGCAAAATTTTCGTATTTTTTGCAAAGTTTGTATTATCCACGCACTTGTCATCATTTTATTTCTTTAGTAACTAACCCATTCATTAGTAACCATTCACATTGGATTTTTATTGTTAATTGGACCTATGGATACTATGGAGCTATGTTACGAATAGGCTACTTCCCAGTTGCGTGGAAAATTTCAGAAATCATCATGATTTATAAGGCTGGCAAACTGATGACCGAAAAAACATCCTACCGACCAATCAGTCTGCTGCCTACTCTTTCGAAGGTTGGAAAGACAATACTTCGTAGAATTGTGCCAAGCCTTGTGGAGCGCAAAGTAATACCAGATCATCAATTCGGCTTCAGACAATACCATGGCACAGTGGAACAAGCTCACAGAGTATGTGACGCCATAAGAAAGTCCTTAGAACAAAGGGAATACTGCTCATCAGCGTTTCTGGATATCCAACAAGCATTTGACAAGGTCTGGCACAAAGGCTTACTATGTAAGATCAAGCAGAATATTTCCCACTCTTACTTTCTAATATTCAAATCTTACCTAGAGGATCGCATATTTTATGTAAAAGAAGGTGACGCCACTTCGGAATTTCAAAACATTGATGCCGGGGTACCACAAGGATCTGTTCTCGGCCCCATGCTCTACACGTTGTACACTGCTGACCTACCGCTATTGCCAGGAATAACCACAGCAACATTTGCAGATGACACCGCTATATTAGCAAGCAATAAAGACCCAGGACTTGCATCAGAGGACTTGCAGAAGGGCCTTGACAAAGTTAACGAATGGCTGCAAAAATGGAAAATAAAAGCTAGTGCCGCGAAGTCAGTACACGTGACCTTCAGCCTTAGAAGAGGAGACTGCCCACCTGTTAAGTTGGACCAATGTATTCTGCCCCACAGCGATCATGTAAGATATCTTGGCTTACACATTGATCGTGGATTAACGTGGAGGCACCACATCAAATGTAAAAAGCAGGAGCTACAGCTAAAGTACAACAGCCTTTACTGGATGCTAGGAAGAAACTCAAGACTTTCTCTAGATAACAAACTTCTTATATATAAAGTCATCCTAAAGCCCATTTGGACATATGGCCTCCAACTGTGGGGCAGCGCAAGTGATACCAACATAAATATACTCCAGCGACAACAGAACAAGATCCTAAGAGCAGTTGCAAAAGTACCATGGTACATAACCAACAACGAAGTTCACGAACACCTTAAAATGAGAAGTATGTGAGTCGACTAAAACGTCACCATATTCTAGAGCTAGAAGACCGGCAGTAGCTCTAGACAGAAGATGAGTAGATGCTTCCAATGGGAAGTCACTCCACATGACAGCACCACAGAAAAAATTCGCTCATAGCCTTGGGGCTGATTGCAAATAACCGCAGAAAAAAAAAAAAAATTGGACCTATGCTTTCTTGTTTATAATGGATACGTAAATAATAAATGTATCAAAATTTATTATTTCCTTAGGAGATTAATGGTTTTTCTAGATAATATATTGTTCTAGGTTTTGATTTATCGTAATATTGAATAAGCGTTTGCTATGCGCCCAAATATGTTTTACGTCGCATTACATTATTACAACTAAAAAAAGGCCGGCAACGCACTCGCGAGCCCTCTGGCATTGAGAGTGTCCATGGGCGGCGGTATCACTTAACATCAGGTGAGCCTCCTGCCCGTTTGCCCCCCCGTTCTATAAAAAAAAAACAATTGCGTTAAAATTTATTGCGTTTTTCAAAACATGTAAAATATATGTGACTATGTCTTTATTAGTCTTGTCTGACTATATGAGGGGAGTATATATTTACCATGAGGGAGTTATTTAAAACTTACGTCAATTCCTTAATGAAATCGTAAAATAAGTTCAATTTTACAGTTTCCACAATTAATGCGCTCAAATAATAATCATCTTCATTTAATCTCGTTACAAATAACTCGTGAATAATAAACGAATTGTGAAAAATGGACGTACTAATGCTCACCTTCTATGAATTTTTTATCTATCCGGCGTAATAAAAGCGGAATTTTGAATGGGAAATAGAACGAGATATATTAGGGCGAGGTGTCAGCTTAAATTATTGAGATTAAAAAACAAGATCCAAGGAAATGAAACGCAAAAACATTCCCTTCCATTTATCATAGGAAAAATACAATATCCTAAAAGAAATCGCAACTGCTTGTCATCTTCCCTAATCCTACTTTGACAGATCACATCTACCCTGTTCTTTTTGCTTTGTATTGAGAGTCCGTAAGCTTAGTTACAAATACGGCGTCAATATCCTTTGTTATGAAGATACATACGACCTTTTCAATATCGATGAGTGATACTTGCAAGTCACCGGGATCATCGCTAAAACAGTGCTTAAATATCATTAGCGTGATAAATCGACTCTTAAAAGACGTAGACTCGTTTGTCATGGAGGCACTAAATGGCGGCTATTTACGTACCGCTTCAAGTAAAAACAAACGAGTGAATATAAAGTGTTTGGAATTTTGTATTGAAAGATCATTAATTTACCCTCCGCAAATGCTGTCTGCGTCAGCTTTTGGTTCAGACAGCTTCACTTTATCTGTCATTGCGAGTTATTATTAATATCCAATTTTGATAGCAGTTTAAAATTCAATTTATTGGCAAAATAATCACAATATAAAACAAAAATATTACACACTAGAAATGTCACCTCTCTATATAATAAGGATACTTAGTCTCATTTGGAACTCTGTAAGTAATTATGATACCTAAAATGATTGCACATTCTTCTTCTTCTTATAGTGCCATCTTCTTGCGAAGGTTGGCGATCATCATGGCTATTTTAATTTTGGATGCCGCGCTTCTAAACAATGACTTGGTGCTTTGATCAAACCATTGTCTCAAGTTTTTCAACCAGGACGTGCGTCTGCGGCCAGGTCTCCTTCTACCTGCCACTTTGCCTTGAATGATTAGTTGAAGGAGCTCATATTTTTTCATAAGCACTTCATTGTTCTTCTGCATTCTGTCCAGGACGGTTGTATTTCGTATGCGGTCTGTCCGCGGATTGCACTTTATCTAATTAATTACACCTCACAATTATGTTAAAAGCTACAATAAAATGACGTTTGTAACAGAAATAATTTGCATCGCTTGTTCGATTCGAAAATTTCGTAAGATGAGCATGTGTAATGTACTTAAATTATAGGTACGTCACACATCTAAAAGCGTGTAAATTAAAATTTCATTCCGGTATAACGACTACGAACATATTTCAAAAAGTTTTAAGCGAAACTTATTAAGCATAAACCGCTTAACTTACAACTAAAGTGACCTTAGAGTTGAACGCTTTATGAGTTATTCAGCTTGAGAAAGTCTCCACAAGTAAGAAAGACAAACTGCTTTATAGAAATAAAAACTTTAAGATGTGTAGTCTGTGCTGTCATTTGATTCATTTGACATATACAGTATTCATTTTATTTTTGACAGTTGACACGCCTGTGAAGTTCTATAATTAAAACCCGATGACCGCCATCCAACTAAACTAAATGCTATCTGCTTTTATAGTGAAACGTGCCGTTCCCTCCCATGCATGTCTATTTGGAATATGAAATTGAATTGGGAACGCATATAACCTTACTAAAGGAATCGAGTGTCAAAAGTAAAATGGTATAGACAGGCTCAAGTTTAACGAGGTTTCTCCATCAGAGGTGTATAAACTTGGTAATGGAAGCTTTTCTAATCCAGTTTGTTTCGAGTTAGATTTGAAATGGCTCTGTTCGATTCAATTTTTCAGAGGAAGTAATGTAAGTTGAATGTTTTCGAGAGCTGTTGTATTGGAGTTTTTCGGAATTTAAAAGTTTAATTCGGTAACATATTTATTGGAACGAATCGCTCCGACCTACATAAAGTACGCGATTATGTCCTGTGTAGCCTGTTCGTAAATATTTTTCTAGCATGCAAATTTTTTCCAAAATTGATTCAGTATATCAGCTTTCTTTGTTGAATACCGTAGTAGATAGTAGTAGTGGATGAAATCACCACATGAATTGGGTTTGTCTTAAAAAACTGATAATTAGGTGTCTCGAAAAAAAAATTACTACGTCTATCATACGCTCAGGCAGAGGAAGTTAACTAACTTAGTTATTGCTCTAATTCGTATTTCATACCTTATAATCGCCAATATCAGAGACGGAACAAGTGAGCACTGCCTCTCTTCCCAAGGCAACTGTGACGTTCTCAATGGGTCGAACGAAGTTAGGCTCCACATCCCTCTGGGAAGCCGTGGGGCCGACTCGGCTTAGGGGCGACGTGGTCTGATATCTCATGTTGCTTTTCACCACTGAAAATAGATCTTTTGTTAAAAATATACTCATCGATAATACTATCATCATCTTACATTTACAGGATCGTAGCGTAACAAAAAATTTGTTTAAGTCTAACATACGCAGGGTTAATGCAATGATAAAAGTGGATATATATATACCTATATATAATAATAGGGGGGAAAACGAGCCTGAGGGACGCCCAAAAAGGGCAGTCTTTGCAGCCCAAAAAAGCTAGGGATCCGTATGAAAACTTCGATAAGTTTTCATACGGATCCCTAGCTTTTTTTAAATATTATATAACCATTATTAATCAAGGATGATGTAGAATTCTATTCGTAAAAGACTTATTCGAATCGGTCCAGTAGTTTTGGAGCCTTAAAGGATCAAATCTTTCCTCTTTATATAAGGCTATTTGCAAACCTCTTAAAAGGATAACCTAGTCGTTACAATCTTATGTGTTGTAGCTTATTTATGGTCATGTAAAATTTCTTGATTTTTGAAATTTCATTTTGTTTAAATTATTTACATAACTATTATGCGTGAAATATATTGAATTTGTAAGAACGAATGAAACTTATGTAACTATTGAGAGTTTGTATTTATCGAAAACCCATCTTCAATATTAACTAATTTCTATTATCGACACGACGTATCCAATTTCTAATGAAACCCCTAAGTTACGCGATATAAGAAAGTTAATTGCAAAACTTACTGTACTTGTAAAAGTAGTAAAAGATCTTTAGACGCTATCTATCTTGCCATCATCGAAATCCATTTAACTTTGTACAGCTGATTTTCTTTCCTTCACCATTGTGTTTTATTTGATTCCATTTTAGGTAAAGACTACATAATATGTTTATTTTCAAAATTGAAAGTGTTAATGTCATATTATGCAGAAGGCCAATTTACTTTAGATAAATTTAAAATTATGTTAAATAATTGCAAATTTATAATAATAAAAAGTTTTTTCTTTAAACGAACTATTTGTCCAAATAGATAGGTCTAGTAAAACACAATTTATCAAATTTAGTACGTTAATTAATAAAAATGAAGCTTTATCTTAGTAAATTATTAGAAAAACAAAAACTGTAAGGAACGAATGATGGGTGTTATACTCAGATAAAACATGTAAAAGATTTTCTTTGATCTTTAAATTGCTTTGAAGGCTTCTAAAGCGTTTGTGTCGTAGTTCTAAAACTCAAAGGCTAAGGCTTTTATTTATGTTACATACAAGTAACTACGACAAAATATATTAAACGTAACATAATAATTTATAATCCGGTGGCGCTACAACCCTATATGGGTCTTGTCTCAGATTGCAACCGATTCTTTGATTATTTTTTTTCATAGACAAGACTGACACATGTCGTCGATTTTTTTATTTGAAACATAACGATTCCCTTTTTTTAAGACAAGTATAATACTTTCTGATGGCTATCATTAGTCGGTCATCGTACTATCCAAATACAACTATACAAATAACTTACTATATACCCTTAAAAAAGGAATGGGTGTCAAATTATTTTCTGTGTGAAACTTCACTTCTGAAAAATCCCGGAAAATTTCTACTATAATTCATTATAACTTATCATTAACAATCCCAATCCAATTTTTACTACTTCAATTTCAAAAATTATTTATTTTATTGCACAAAATTTATAGTGTACTGTACATATCCAGTGTACATTATTTCCTGGAATGTATCAAACTTATAACTAGACACGTTTTTAAAGCCGTTTTGCTTTTTAAAAACTTATAAAATAGATAAAACTAAAGTTATAATGTTTCGAAAGATTTTAACAATAACAAACTAAATTTAACAATGAGGTTAAACTAAGTACCTGTTAACAATGCAATCTTTAGATGACATTTGGATTAATATTTCAATCCATTTCTCATAAACTACTTTTCAATAACCGATCGATGGATCGATAGTCAATCTGTTTTTGTAAACCATCTTTGGGAGGACCGATCGGTATTTTTGGATTGATATTTGTATGAAAATTCCACATCGACGCTTTCTATAAAATATCTTTGAATTTTGACATTTATCAATCTAAATTTGCGATCTTCCCACTTTGACCGATGCACGATTGTTGCGGTGCTTTTTTTGTGTAATATTTACCTAGCACGTGTTAAGTGTACAGCATACCATGTCTAAAGTCAGATCTTAAGAATTATGATTTTAAATTTATCAGTAATTAGTTCGTCATTTGAATGTTATGAGAATGTCTCATTTTATCACAAAGGAGAATATTAACTCTATATAGGTAAGTTCTTAGCTAAGGTTAGTAATACATATATATTAAGCTAAGTTATAACATGGACGTAGTACGGACATAAATTGGTTTTAGTGCAAGCTTCACCTACATTAGTTTCCGCTTAATATAAACGGACGTAAAGTAATCTACGCTAGGGTAATGCTGGGAATTTAATGACATTACAAATTAATATTTATCGAGACACGGGTTTTCTCTAATATTAGAAATGTTTTGCTGAAAACCCACTAAACGATTTCTATAATTATACAGCTTAAGCGAAATTATTTATAAGTGTATTTAATAAAGTGTGCTACCCCACAAGGGGGTCATCGATACATGTCACTGTAATATTGAAAAGGTAATTTTTAGATAAAAATTCTTAATAAGAAAAGCTAGAATAACATCTACATTTAGTATGGCAAGTCTCACAAAGTAAAATTTTCACTTATAATACCACAAGAGCTTCAAAATTATCGGGTATTTCCCGATAGGTTCGTTGCAAACAAATGAAGGAGTCAAGTTTTTCAGGTTAAAAAATCACTCGCGCTTCGCGCTCGTGATTTATTAAGCTGAAAAACTTGACGACTGAAGCTCGTGTGGTATTCGGGGGATTATTTTTCCGACCCAAATGTCGGCCAATAGAATTGCACCATGAGACGAAATGTACAGTTAACAAATAAGAATTTCATAATGAATAAAACAACTACTTAATACTTTTCTTGAAGTAATTTGGCAGTCTGATTCCACATTGTTTTTATTGTACCTTCCTTATAGTCTTCTCCATCCATTTTCTTCATATTGTAAGCGTAATCTTTCATAATGTTTGCCAATTGCGCTTCACTCGTTTCAGCACTCAATGTGTATTCCCTCTCAGTACAAAAAGTAGTAAATTGGTTCCAAACTGTTTTTTTTGACTTCTCCGTATTAATGGGAACATTTCCTTTGACTTTTTTATCGATGGTGGACAGAGAACAAACTCCAAATCGACTCATTTTCATGCAAAATCTCAAATTTTCACAATTGAATTCAACCTGTCAGTTTGACGTGTGGTTAATTTGACTGGATCATGTTGTTTTTTATATATAGCAACTACCAGAGAAAATTTTCAAAAAATTATCAGTATAATACCATGTAGGTTGTACCACGTGACGTCGAATGGTGCAATTCTATTGGTCGATATTTGGGTCGGAAAAATTTTCACCGAAATTAAAGTTAGTTACAGTGATCGATTTTTGTAGGCGGTAATCAGCCTTCTGTTCCGACCGGAAACAATTACTGTTTAACCGGGTATCCTGGAATATTCTGGATAGTCATAGTAAACAGTGTAAAGTACAAACAGTGTTAGGTAGACCAATATTGTATATAACTTAACAATCGAGAAGTCGGGAAGGTTTGTAATCAACGTTAGGGGTTCTAATGTGCATTTAATCAATAGTCAAAGAGACTCAATAGGAAGGTTTGTATGTAAAATGAACTACGAAGTTAAAACGGCGGTTTTCCTTTGCTGGAAATTCATCTTCGAGACTAAACGCGTACTATAATCCCGTATATCAAAATCCAATACATTTTTCTCGACTCTGAATTTTAGTTTTCCTTTTTTTTAACAGGCTTTCCCTTTACATGCCCAGTATGAAATTGGCATTACTAAAGCAGTTTTGGTACCAACTAGCGTTTACAATCATCGTTTTAAAAAAAAGAAGGCTCTACTATCTTTTTTTAAGGTCTGGGCCTCAGCTTGTGTATGTTTCATGATCATTTGTCAATCTAATAGGCAAGTAGGTGATCAGCATCCTGTCTTCAGCCTTGGGTCTAAGGCAAGCCGGTTTCCTCACGATGTTTCCTTTCACGGTTATAGCGCGAACGTTAAATGCGGAAATAGACAGAAAGTCTATTGGTACACAGCCGGGGATCGAACCTACGACCTCAGGGATTAGAGTCGCACGCTGAAGCCACTAGGTCAACATTTCTCTCATCATTATAAGGTTAGTAACCTAAAATATATAAGTAAAAGACCGATATTGGAGTTGAAATAAAATTTATAAATAGCTCCTTAAGTAATGAAACCCCAAGAGTATAATTTAATTTCACAGTTCTGCGAAAACATTTTCACAATTTTCACTACCCGAAGATGTGAATCATATTTATTACATTCCTATTATATCTAAAGTTAATTAAGTTCTAAGTGACGACAAATTATAATTAAAGCTCTAATAATTGCTGGAAATAAAAGCTTTCAGAGTTTTCTCCTTGACATATAAATTAAATTGTCACATATTGTTAGTGTCATTAAAGTTATAGCGACAAAAAAATCCATAGCCTTATCATATATCAAACATATATAATATGATTGTCAAAAGAGTAAAATTTATTTATTGTATGTGAGCATTATCTAAATTTTTTGACTAGTCTATAAATAATTAAACCTATACGGTTAAATAAAAAATATTATATATATATATATATATATATACGAGTACACAATCATATACATTCTAGAATGAAAATATCTGATAAAAATAATAACCTCATGGAAATATACAAAAGCGAATTCTACGTTAAATGGCGATATAACTAATAACATATTTTTAAATCAAGAAGGCAACAAACGCTCTAGACTGGTCAACTAGAATGGTCAAATACACTATTAAATAATGACGAAAGTTGAGAATTCGAAATTACTTTACAAATTACACAAATTTGCTCTAGTACTCATGAATTTCGGAATTAAATAAATCAACG